GCTGCTGCTGCTGCTGCTACCCCTACCGCCACCGCACTGCTCTCCTACTCCTACTACCACTACCCCTAACAAATGCGAGTAAGATACTGTTTCGTCGGATCACGCATGTTCTTGCGCTACCCCCTTATGTAGGTGCCACATGGTTGGGTCATGGATACTCCGGTCATCCGGTGCGTTCGGGCGTGGACGTTGTCATGGTCGGCGGATGCATCCTTTGGTTATCGGATGCGGTCGGAGTGGACGTCATCATGGTTGTGCCATGGATGCCCCGGTCATCCGATGCAGTCGGCGAGGACGGTATCCTGGTTGGGCCATGGATGCTCCGGTCATCGGATGGTGAAAAGCGGTCAGCGGATGGTGCAAACTTCGCATGAAAACACCCCTTTAAGGAACCCTTGAAAGGAACCCTATTCTAAGTACGGCCCCTACACTAGGCGTTTTGAGGATCTTTGTGGCGTCCTGTGTAAAACACTTGGACTCCGATTCTGCGCGGGAAGGCAAGCCGGTGGTCTACAAGCAATGTGAGAAGGGCAGCGTCCCTCAGGCCAGGGTTTAGGGTTCAGGGTTTAGGGTTTAGGGTACCTCAGGCCTTTGGCCTGGGAGAAGCCTAAGCCAGGCTAATGAAACCGTAACGGCGCGGTCTGAGCCCTGATATTATAGGGGCCTTTATAATGAGAATTGGGTTTGGGGGTATGGTATACTGTAGTAAAAAACAGAACGAACCCCCAAAATAGGATTCGTAATTCTTTGGGCCCATACATTAGTGGGGAGCTGGGAGCCCTAAGCCCCCCTTATCGGGAGCCCCAAGCCAGGCAGCCTTAGCCGCAGAGGGAGCCCTAAACCCTGAAGGCTGCTGGATGCTGTGGGAATGGGCAGTATTCTGGGAATATAGGGGCCTTATGTAATACTTATCGATACTATTGTGGGGGTTCCTTTTTGTAATTATCGTATAATGGACCCCAAAACCCTTTTCTAGTTAGTAAGGCCCCCATATTATATTGGCTACTACGCTGATGTGGAGCTTGCTTGCCGCTGGGATTCGGAGTTCCGCCATCGGAAGTTCCCAGAGAGCCCAATACCCGTTAATCAAGGAATATACCTCAAATCAGAATATTGAGGCCCCTATAATTTTAGGTACATTCCTTTTTTACGGGGTATTGGGCTGTCTGGGTTCTGATTTTGTTTTAGGGTTTGGGGTTCAGAGCTGGGTTCAGGATTACCAGAGCTTGCAAGACGCAGTGTCTAGGAAGCAGGGCATCAGAAGCTCCTTTCCGTTTCCTCGCATCATCAGCCTCTATGGCCTGCTTGCTCGTGGTCTTTGTCTGTACATGTAAACCCTAAACCCTAAACCCTAAAAGTCTATATCGGTCTAAGGGTCACAGGTGTTTTCTGCTTTTTCCCGTGATTTGGCCATACACCCTGGGCTGCTTTAGGGGTTTAGTGTACTTGGAGGATCATGGGACTTAGTAAGTAGGTTATAAGTACCCTAATTGGGGTTATAATTATAGTTACCTTATTTATAACCCTAGTTAGTAAGTCCCATGATCCTCCAAGTGGGTCGATGGTTCTGAGGCTGCACCTAGAACCATGTTCTGTATCTCATATCGATCCAGGTGCACTGGACGTCTCCCTTCGCTTGCGATGCTAATCGCCTAGGGTGGTCAAGACTCACCAAGAGGCCGTGAGTTTGGCTGGGGCGCTTGTTGCCCTCAAGGTGCTCTTTGGAGGGCTCAACAAAAGTCCGGACAAAGGAACCGAAACCATCGAAGCACCATCGCCTAAGCCCTAAACCCTAAGCCCTAAACCCTAAACCCTAAACCCTAAACGCAGGCAGGGAAATGCGTGAAAGCGGATGGCCCGGCCTCGATGACGTTCTACCAGTACAGCGCTCAGAGCAAGGCCCAGCATGGGGGATATAGACCCTCTCAGTAAGGTCCCTTTTAAGAGAGCCAACAGGGCCAACAGTACTTGGAGGATCATGGGACTTAGTAACTAGGCTTATAAATAAGGTAACTATAATTATAACCCCAATTAGGGTACTTATAACCTTACCTACTAAGTCCCATGATCCTCCAAGTATGGTTCAGAAGGGGTACCCTGTAAGGGGTACCCCTAATAATACTACCTACAGCATGCAAGAAGTCCAGGGCTTCAAAAGTCGGAGACTGGACCTAGGGCTTAGGGTTTAGGGATTTGGGGTTCAGGGTTTAGGGTTTAGAGGTTCAGGGTTTAAGGGTTTAGGGGGTTTAGGGTTTAGGGTTTAGGGGTTCAGGGTTTAGGGGGTTTAGGGTTTGGGGTTTAGGGGTTTAGGGTGTAGGGTTTAGTGGTTTGGGGGGTTTAGGGTCTAGGGGTGAGGGGTGTAGGGGTTTAGGGTTTAGGGTTTCAAAAAATGCTGCCTTAAAGGCTAAGCTCTACCTCAAGATCACGGTGTGTGGGTGATACACCTCAGGATTCAAAATCGAAGCAGGCGTTGTAACAAATCCATGAGCTACAATGATGACTTCTCGCGGATGTTGTGCGAGGTTATCTTTCGGATATCGGGTCTGGGTGTTTGAACTGTATACTAGAAGGCATCGAGATAGCCTTACTTACATGCTAAGCAGCCTTGGAAATCCCCAGTCCGAGAAGCAAGAGCTCATACTCGAGTTGAAGGCCGTGACGACATCATCACCACAAGAAGAACTGCAGAACAGTCTGCAGAAGCGCCTTCGTCGTCGTGGTGTGCTAGTGTCGTGGTGGTTGTGGTTCTCATCGCCAGTGTCGTCATAGTTGTAGTACTAGGTAGTAATAGATTGTTGCGTTCGTCGTAGTACAGAATTGGGGAGGTATGTAATAAAGGGGTCAGAATATTGTTAGCAAAAGTGCAAGGTTGAATATAGCCCCATGCCGTATTCTGATTATCCAGGCTCCGATGTTGACCTCATCTCCCCCAGCACATTTCACCAAGTCGCAGTAGGGCTCTGCAGAACCATGAACATGAAGGGGTTTAGGGTTTAGGGTTTAGGACCACAAACATCTAAACACCCTCTGTGCGCAAACCCCGTAAGCCAAGCAGCAAGCTTCGAAACCCTGACATTTCAAAGCCTCAGCCCTAAGGCCCAAAACCCTAAAATCATCTCGCCTATTTCCTGAACTCCCTCACGCACCTGAATTATGATTTAGAGGGACCC